AGAAAAGTAAATATTGTATCTTTTTAGTTTTTGAACTGTAATCTTATTTCGCACAAAAAGGTTTAACTTGACTTAATTTTCATAGAAAGGTACGAGATAAACTGTTTTGATGCATGGAGCAAATTTTTTATTTTTGGAGCTCTCAGAACACGAATTATAACTTCTCGATATTAATTGTAATCAGTAGGAAATAGAAGTTTATTAACTTTAAATTATATATTCGCTCAAAAACCAAGATGTTTATTGAGTTTTATCTTGTTTGAAACATTAATTGTTCGTCTGGCATGCACGCTTTGTTAAATGCTTGATCTGTGTTTTTATACGTGTGTGTGTGTTATATTCTCTGCTTCAATTTAGAAGTTGCAAGATATAGGACCTTCAAACCTGAGAAATATATTCTCTTTTAATTTATCTCTTTTTTTTATGTCTGAAGAAAATGTCAAAGAAACGGCTTGCGGAACTTGAAACGAGGTCTCAAAACACGGAGTTGTTACTTTTTGTAATACAAGTATGAGCTTCAAGACTATTCGAGGATTCTTTGAAAAATTACAATTCAATCGGTATGGGATCTGCGCTCTTTTTTTTTTTAAAAAAAACAAAACGCCTCCAGTGGCTCAGCAGTAAGTCTGAGGGCTCACCCCGTTAAAATCCGGGTTTCAATACTCGTGGTGGGCACAGCACAGATAGCCCACTGTGTAGCTTTGTGCTTAACAACAAAACAAACAGTCAAATCAAAAATGTCTCTAGTTTTACAATATAGTAAATTAGTGTTCTATTTTCAAAAATTTTGCAATTTGTTTGTATGATACAAACCTTTTAAATAACTATATGTTCCTCTTTGGTTCACATTCACAATATATGACCAATGAATTTAAAATAAAAGTGCCATTCAGTTCCTATAGTTTAATCAAGATAACTTTATTGTGAAATGTGTTACATGATATCGAACACTCAGTATTCCAATGAAACTATTTAGTTGTTTTCTGAGAATACTGTAGCTTTTCTGGCTTATTAAAAGTTCTGGTTATATCTACTGTGAAAAGATAGTTGTTTGACAGTGTTTACTATATGACTAGTAGTAATGAATATAGAAATAAAAGACAATAAAATTTCTTAATCACCACTGAAAAGGAACGTAGAATAACAGTCACCTGGGTTAATGAGCTATACAACGATATAATATATATACACACGATTATGAGTAGCTGATACACGGGGGGTTATAATGTGACGGTCAATCCCACTATTCGTTGGTAAAAGAGTAGCCCAAGAGTTGGCGGTGGGTG